TAGGGGTGCAGAGTCTGCAGCTTCTTGGTGTACTCTCAAGGGGTCTGAGCTGCCAGGGAGCTCAAGGTGGGGCACACAGTTCTCCCCCTCTTCATTTCATCCTGGCAACAACCCTGTGAGGTAGGATAGGCTGAAAGGTAGTGACTGGCCCAGGGTCACCCAGTGAGCTTCATGGCTGGCTGGGAATTTAAGTCCTGCCTCCCATTCATAAATATGACTGTCTCTTTAATACCTTTGACCACCGGGAACCTGCCAACGTTTCATTTAAGGCCAGAGCTGGATCTAAGGTCGGGTTACCAGACGTCCCCGTTTTCCGGGGACAGTCACTGGATTTGTGAATAAGTCCCCAGACGAATTCCATCCCCGGAATGTCCCTGGATTTCATCCAATGTCCCTGGGAAACACAGCAGCGGCAGTCTCAGCAGACTGGAGCAGTTGGCTCTGGCTGGCTTCAGGAGCTGCTGGGAAGTCCCCATAGGATGGTGGTGCAGAGGCTCTAAGATGCAGCTTCCGGGCTGCCTCCACCTTCCCTGACCCCAGCAACTCAGCTGTGAAGTGAGGCTTCATGCTGCCTATCGGAGCAGCCGCCCAACTCCTACTTGTGTGCAAACAGGAGTGGGGCGGGGATCTCTCCCTTCCCAACTGAGGGATCCCCGCCCCCTCCTGCTTGCACACAAGTAGGAATGAGATTGGGGATGCTCCGATGGTCTCACCACCGCTGCTCTCGGCCCTCCTTCTCCGCCTTCCATGCCTGACCCACTGCGCACTGCTTTCCCACCACCCCCACTGAACAATCAACAACTCAGGGGCTGCCCAGGCTCACGGAGAAAGGAGACTAAAGCCTTGGATGAAGCGGAAACCTGGTGGTTGAAGTCAAGACAGCGGCTGCCTCTCTGCCACCGCCATTGGTGCAGCATCAACATCCTGAACATGTAGTATTTATTTATTTAAATATTTTTATTAGCAATTTCAACAGAACACAATCACATTACTGTGTCCAGTTCTGGGCACCACAGTTCAAGAAGGACACTGACAAACTGGAACGTGTCCAGAGGAGGGCAACCAAAATGGTCAAAGGCCTGGAAACGATGCCTTATGAGGAACGGCTAAGGGAGCTGGGCATGTTTAGCCTGGAGAAGAGGAGGTTAAGGGGTGATATGATAGCCATGTTCAAATATATAAAAGGATGTCATCTAGAGGAGGGAGAAAGGTTGTTTTCTGCTGCTCCAGAGAAGCGGACACGGAGCAATGGATCCAAAGTACAAGAAAGAAGATTCCACCTAAACATTAGGAAGAACTTCCTGACAGTAAGAGCTGTTCGACAGTGGAATTTGCTGCCAAGGAGTGTGGTGGAGTCTCCTACTTTGGAGGTCTTTAAGCAGAGGCTTGACAACCATCTGTCAGGAGTGCTCTGATGGTGTTTCCTGCTTGGCAGGGGGTTGGATTCGATGGCCCTTGTGGTCTATTCCAACTTTATGATTCTATGACATTATTTATTTATTTATTCATTTAAGTGAGTGTCCCCGGATTCATTGAAAAAAATAATCTGGTAACCTTAATCTAGGGAACTGCTGTAGTTGATCCTTTAAAATATGGGGAATGGGCTGTTGTAGTTCTCCCAGCATGAACATGAAAACTGGAATCTCCAGTATCAAGTCATGTCTGGGAAGCTTTGACCTTCCAGATGCAGCTCCCACCAGTGGCCAATGGTCAGGGGTGGGATCCAGAGTTGTTATCCAAGCAACATCTGTATCAAGCGAGCTGACCCTTCTTCTTCTTTTACACCTTAAGACTCACACCAATGCGCATTTTAACCCTAGATCAGCCTCATTTCTTAATATCCAGCCCAAAGAAGCGTTCTGCAGAACTCAAAAGCTTGCGCATTGTTTGGTGACCTGTAGTCAGTCAAGTAAAGGTATTGACTTATAATGGATATTGCATTTTAGTCCATGGTGGTACGATTCTGATTCTGATTTGTATACCATCCTTCATTTGTAGATTACAGGGCAGTTCACAACATAAAAATACAAGATAAAAAACACAAAATGCATCATAACAAAACAAAAACAAATCCATATCTCCCCCAAAGCACCCTGGGGACACCATCCAATCACAGAAAATGCCCATTCTGTCGGAAATCAAGCCTTTATCAGGAGAAACTGGCAACTCTCCCAGGCACCCGGCTTGATCTCCTGTTGACCTCCCTGTCTGCTTTCCCGGCAAGATCCAGGCAGAGGTCGCGATAGGCGATCCTTCTCAGCGTGAGAAGAACACCCCCCCTCTTTCCTGCCCCCCCCCGGCATGGGAAAGAGATAGACAGAAAACGTATTTACATGCCTTTATTTCTGTCTTTGCAGCGTTACAAAAAACATGACTGCTCTCTTCAAACTCCAGCAGTCGAGAGAGAAACACTTCCTGCACTTCCTGTACAGGAACAAGAGGAAAAGCTCATATTACACTCTGAGCTAATTCCGGTGCAATGCCCTGTGAATTGACTGTCCCTCTGTTTCCCACGGACAGTCCCAACATTCCCATCATGTTTTGTTTTCAAGCTAGCACTTTGCAGCAGCATTGCATCCATATCGTAATGCCCATTCCGACCGTCAGGAGGAGGGGGGGTTGCGGGATCCCGACACCGCCCACTCACTCTCGCGAGGCGAGTGCCAGCCTCGCGGGAGGCCCCGGGATTCCCCCAATTTACATACCCTGAGTTGCCAGCCAATCAGCTGGCGGCAGGGGCGGGCCTTAGAAAGGCCACTTAAGGTCGGGGCAGCCCTCGGCTCGCCCCTTTTCGCCCGGGAGACCACGCGGTTTTGCTTGGTCGTTCTTCGCTGCGTTCCCGTTCTTCGCTGCGTTCCTTGTCGCCCACGCGCCGCTTCCTTGGCCGGGGTATTGTCATGCAGATGAGGTTGGGGGGGAGGAGCGCCATCACCTCCCCCAATGCTTGAAGGGTAGTTCGTTAAAGGACTCCGAGGGGCGACGCCTCGTCCGAAACCTACGGAGGCTAGGGCCTAAAGCGCGCCCCCGAGCGGTAACCCCTCGGGGAGCGCCTAGGGATACGCATCTCGGGTGGCTCCCCCTGTTGGTGTTTAACCCTTCCCGGTTAGACCGGATAGTCGGTTAGGGGCCAATGCCTAAAGCCAATACCCTTCTCTCCTGTAATCAATAAAGTTGTGGCCATTTTCGCCCATTAACCTAAATCGCTGTGTCCGTTGTCTTTATTTATTCCACCTGTGGGGGGGAGGGAATAGCCACGCAACACATTCTTGTGTTGCCACCCTCTGGACATCTTGGGAAGGAGGAATACATAGAACAGCCTCAGATGATGATTTCAGGGTCTTGGTAGGTTCACATGAGGTGAGGGACTCCTTGAGGAATAGAGGTATGATGGAATGGAAGCAAGAAAGGAGGGGGAGGAGAGCATAAGATGCATCAAATATGGAGAGTTATGTGAGTATCACCCAGATGATGGGGTGAAGAACTCACCTGAGGGGCCTCACCTGTCCAGGGATGACCACAAGGTTTTGGGCAGCTTCCAACCCACCTTTCCTTAAGAAGATATGATAGCCACCTTCAAATATCTCAAGGGCTGTCACACAGAAGATGAAGCAAGCTTGTTTTCTGCTGCTCTGGAAAGTAGGGCCCGAACCGATGTCTTCAACTTACAAGAAAGGAGTTTCCAACTAAACATTCGGAAAAACTTTCTGACAGTAGGAGCTATTTGACAGTGGAACAGTCTATCTCAGGAGGTTGTAGTCTCTCCTTCCTTTGCGGTTTTAAGCAAAAGTTGGATGGCCATCTGTTGTGGATGCTTCAGCTGAGATTCCTGCATTGCAGGGGACCTGACTAGATGACTCTGTGTGTCCCTTCCAACTGTACAAATCCATAATTCTATAAGACAGGGATGGGATCCTAGGGGTTCTCCAGGCAATGTTGAAGATACCTCTGGCTACATATCACAATGCCTTTGTTCTACCTCCATTGTCATGGCAGGGGACTGTGGGAAGAAGGAGCACTTTTGGGCTGTGGTCCTGTCTGTGGGCATCTGGTTGGCCACTATCAGAACAGCCAAGGAAGTTGGCAGGAGCTCAGACCTTCCCCAGCCCTGTTTTGGGATATTGCACACATGGAGGAATCTCATGTCTCCATGGAATCCTAACCACATGTCCTGTCTTGGCCTCTCTGTCTTTTTGCATTTAAGTGTTTCACACATCATATATTAGAGTCCAACAGAAAACAAGACCCAGAACACCTTTTCAGAAGATGGACCTACACAAAGGTTTCCATGGGTTGAAGCTGGTAGAAAAATGGTATTATACACCATTGAGGTTATATCATATTACAAAATCTGGAAGTAAGAGTTGCTGGAGGAAATGTGGAGTGATGGGAACGCACAGCCATATGTGGTGGGACTGTCCGTTAGTTAATGAATTTTGGAAACAGATTGGTATAGAAATATCGGGAATTGTGGGAAGGAACGTGGAAATAACTAAATTAATGGTTCTTATTACCCTGAGTAGTACTGAGTTAAAAGAGGAATGCAAATAGGTAAATTTGATGGTAATTGCAGCCAGACAGGTTATAGCGAGTAATTCGAAAAATGCAGAAGAGTTAGGGGTGAACCAATGGAGGAAAAAACTGAATAATATTATAATTTTAGAATACCTAACTGTGAAGATACATAGAATGAAAGGGTTTAAGGTCAGTGAGAAAGAGGAGGATTGGTTTGAGAAGATAATAAATTATTTGAGTAGGTTTGAAAAATTTGGGGCAATTAAAATGTTAAAAGTTAAATAAACCTCGTGGAAGGAGGAGTGTTAAGGTATATAGATGTGTATATATGGTTTATTTGAATATGTTATTATTGAATATTATTGAATATGTATATTATTGAATATTGTATACCCAATGTATCAGCCACCTGGGGGGTTTCACTGTTTGTGTTCTGGTTGTTGGAAGAAAATAATATATATATATTTTTTAAACAGCAACAACAATGGTTTCCAATGCTTGCATTTATTAAAAAGAATGCATTGAGATTCTCCTGAGTAGAGAGACAGACAGGACGGTTCCCTCTTGACTCCTTCCCAGCATCGCCTTCAGCAGCATCAAGCAAAGCGGTTTCTTCCCCATCAGAGATGGGGGTGCAGTCGAGGCAGCTGCACATCAGAGGAGAGCAGGGTGGTCTTCCTTTCACTAGAGGTCTTGCACCAGAGATCTGCAGAGTTACCCCCACCTGTGAGAAGAGGAAACACTGTTAAAACGAGTGTTGGTGGTGGTTCTGAGAACCCAAACCAGTGACCCCAAGTGGGAGGCAGAAGAGCTGACTGTTGTAGGTGCTCAAATTGCACACAGAGGCTTTGTTTCAGACCTCCAGCTAAAAGTATGTGTGTGGAGGGGTGTCTCCATCCTGACCCCAAGCCCTCCCATCATCACATGACCTTGTAGCCTGGGGCTGCTGGGAGTTGTAGTCCTCAGTTGGTAGAACATGAGACTCTTAATCTTAAGGGTTGCCAAAGGTTCGCCTGCTTGCTTTTGGAGTTATCATTTCTCAGCTCCTGGAGAGAAAGTACTACAAGGGCAGGGGCATTCTCAAAACCATAACCTGAAACACGGAACTGAGCAGGTGGAGAGAATCTAACACACCTGCAATAGTTTTCAGGATCTGGTTGGTGAACGAAACAGTCACTCCCCAACATAAAGACAAGTCCTGATGGGTCATACTTTGAATGCTGGCAGCATGAGATGGGATTGGGACCTTTCGATGGAGAGATTGTACGGTAAGGGATGGACAGAAGGCAGTATTTGGGAGGACTCAATGAAAGGCTCCAGAAGGAGATTGCGGCTAAACATCACAAAGAGTTTTCTGATGGTAAGAGCTGAATGAAAGTGAAACGGTCTCCGCCAGGAGGTTGTGGACTTCCTTGGAGTTTTCAAGCACAGGTTTGATGGCCATCTGTCAGGAATGCTTTAGCTGAGATTCCTGCATTGCAGGGGGTTGGACTAGATGACCCTTGGAGTCCCTTCCATCTCTACCATTCTATGAGTCCATTTTCTTTAACAGAGGAACAGGAGCAGGTAAGTAGTGCAGATTCAGACTTAGTCTCAGGGTGTGATGAGCCATGAGGAATTTGAGCAGGACACTTAACCCTTCCCCTTCCAGCCGTTGCAGGCTGTGTGGGTTCCCTTCCAACTCTACAGTTCTGTGATACAAAAACAACCTTCACAGAGATGCTTCACGTGGGTTGCCTTTGCTATCTGAAGGAAGGGCTCAGCCAAAGATGGGTTTCCTTTCCTGGCTAAGAGAAATTGCACTGGCTCCCAGTGGAGTACAGGGTCAGGTTTAAGGTGCTGGTTTTGACCTTTAAAGCCCTATGTGGCCTAGGACCCTAGTACCTACGGGACCCCCTCTCCTGGTATGCCCTGCGGAGGTCCTTAAGGCCCACAAATAACAACACTTTGGAGGTTCCGAGCCTCAAGGAGGTTAGATTGGTTTCAATTAGGGCCAGGGCCTCCTCAGCACTGGCCCCAACGTGGTGGAACGCTCTGTCCCAAGAGACTAGGGCCCTGCGGGACTTGACATCTTTCCACAGGGCCTGCAAGACAGAGCTGTTCCGCCTGGCCTTTCGTATGGACTCAGTCTGACCCTTATGTTTCCCTCCCCTTATGGTCTTGAGTTATCAGCTACTTTAAAATGAGGCTGCATTTTAAATTGGATTTTAACCTGTATTTTAAATTGTTTTCTTTCCCCCTGTTCATCCCCCCCGTCTCTTCCTCCCCTATTATGTTTCCCGGTTCTGGCCAGGGAGGGCAGAGTGTAAATAATAATAATAATAATAATAATAATAATAATAATAATAATAATAATAATAATATTAAATTGTGACTGTGGGTGGAATCGGAGCTGTAAGTCGCATACCTTTGGGGTCGTCTCTCTTTGAGACAAAGTTATAATTTGAGCTAACTCACCTTAACGGCAACAAACTCTGCTTCCTGTGCATTTAGCAATTTCTGTTTTGCCTTTCCAGCACCTAAAATAATGGCAGCTCCCGCCGGCAAGGTGACATTCTTCCTTGGCATTTTGGGCTCTGGTGAAATCTGAGGGAGGAAAAAGAACCATTTGAAGCCAGATCTGCACCCCCAGCACTGACCTTCTTGTGGGATGTGAAACACAAGAGCAGTCAAGTACAACATTCCTAGAGTGAACATGTTTACACATGGGGAGGAATGTTTGTCCAGCCAGCAGGTAAACTTCCTGTTTCCTTCTGGGCTGGGACAGACTTCCTCTGTATGTGACTAGAGGTGGGTGTGGCCTCACCTGTCCAGGTAAAGACAAAAGCACAGGGCAGGACAGCCATCTCTCTCTCTCTTTGACTACATGCGTTGAAGAAGCAACATCTGCTTAGCCAAAGATGCTCTCTTGGCCTCTAGCCAAGAGAAGACAAAGGGACTGTTTCCTTATCAGATAGTTTCCAGGTGTATGTTACTTGTCTAAGCTAAGTCTGCCTTCTGGGATCCAATTGTGAACAGCATGTGAATAAACTCTTTTTATACTTTTATAGAAGACTGTGTTATGTCTTATCTTTTATGAAGGAATAAGGGGAAAATACTAGAAGTTATTATAGAGGCTTTAGCAAGCCTGAGCAAACGCATCCAATTTGAGTTTAAAAAGGGGAATGTTACTAAATTGGGAACTTGTTAACACAAGTTGGAAAGGCTATAATAAAACAATATATCCTCCCCTGCATCCCAGAACATTCCCACACTTCTGCACCTTCAGCTCTTCTTCCCTGATAACCCTGCTGGGCAAGAAACCTGGAGGGGGCCACGTTGGGGGAGGCTGGTGCAGGATGAATGCAGGGAAAGGGTCTGGGGTGGAGAGAGAGACCCTTTCCCTCCCGCCTGCACCTTCAACAAAAGAGCTGAGCCAAGGCGGTAAGGAAGGCTGCATCAGAGAGACTGGCTTCCCTTTGAGGGTCACTGGCAACCTTGGAGAGAGAAGCCCCCTTGCCCAGGTAACTGGCCCGCTTTCTTCCCCACTGCAAACTTGAATGTACTCAAATGCATTATGAAAGATTTTAAAGCTATTCCTGTGGATGATATTCTGCAGATGGTGACAGCAGTCACAAAATTAAAAGATGCCTGTTTCTTGGGAGAAAAGTGATGACAAACCTAGACAGCATCTTAAAAAGCAGAGACATCACCTTGCTAACAGAGGTCCGTATAGTTCAAGCTATGGTTTTCCCAGTAGTGATGTATGGAAGTGAGAGCTGGACCATAAAGAAGGCTGATTGCCGAAGAATAGATGCTTTTGAATTATGGTGCTGGAGGAGACTCTTGAGAGTCCCATGGACTGCAAGAAGATCAAACTTATCCATTCTTAAGGAAATCAGCCCTGAGTGCTCACTGGAAGGACAGATCCTGAAGCTGAGGCGCCAATACTATGGCCACTCATGAGAAGAGGAGATTCCTTGGGAAAGACCCTGATGTTGGGAAAGATGGAGGGCACAAGGAGAAGGAGATGACAGAGGACAAGATGGTGGGACAGTGTTCTTGAAGCTACCAGCATGAGTTTGACCAAACTGCGGGAGGCAGTGGAAGACAGGAGTGCCTGGCGTGCTCTGGTCCAGGGGGTCATGAAGATTTGGACATGTCTAAACAACTAAACAGCAACAACGTGGATTATATTCCATGTTTTAAGGTAAAGGGACCCCTGATCATTAGGTCCAGTCGTGGCCGACTCTGGGGTTGCGGCACTCATCTCGCTTTATTGGCCGAGGAACCGGCGTACAGCTTCCGGGTCATGTGGCCAGCATGGCTAAGCTGCTTCTGGTGAACCAGAGCAGCGCACGGAAACACTGTTTACCTTCCCGCCGGAGTGGTACCTATTTATCTACTTGCACTTTGACGTGCTTTCGAACTGCTAGGTTGGCAGGAGCAGGGACCGAGCAACGGGAGCTCACCCCGTCGCGGGGATTCGAACCCTTCTGATTGGCAAGTCCTAGGCTCTGTGGTTTAACCCACAGCGCCACCCGCGTCCCATTCCATGTTTTAGGATTAGTATTAAAATGAGATCCTAGAAAGAACCTGATTTCTGTATCGGGCCAGAGGAAGCACATTCCTCTTGCAGTGGCCGACCAGATGCCCCGTTTGGGAAGTTCTCAAAGAGGACAGAGGGGCAAAGGAATTCTTCACCCATCCCTTTGGGATTCCCTGCAGGTGGGATTCACAGGCACCTTTAAAAGGAATAAAGCAAAGAGCTGTGGAGAATCTGAGAAAACTGATAAAATAGCAGAATTATTAGAATGGAGAATCAAATTTCTTGAATTCGCGGAGATGGCAAAATTAAAGGCATCAATTAGAGGCTACTCTAATCAAAAAATTAATAAAGACTGGGAATGCATTAAGGGATACATGAAAAAAGTTGGTGCTGGAGCTTAAAAATCAATATGCAAAAGTTTAAAAGGCGCAAGGAGATTGGATAATTGGGTTGTAGGGGAAGGAGGTGAAGGGATTAATTGAAATTGTTAAAGATTGGTATAGGATTAAAGAGATTTAAATCTTCATAAAGATTCTATAAGGAAAGCAGAAAGCAGCAAGAAATATCAAGTAAAGTTATCGGAGAGGAGATCAGTGTAAATGAAAACACGAAACTTACAGTTTTGTTACGTATGATTTTATTTTGGAGTTGTCTGTTTTGGAGTTGTTTGTTGTAAACAGTGTATATTATGTGAATAAAATAATAAAGGTGAAAAGTTTTTAAAAAGAGAAGATCGCCATACCTGGAGCCAGGAGCATCAAGAAGAGGACGGCAACAGAGAGGAGGCAGAAGATCTTCATGGCTGGAGGTTGGTGGGAATCCTGGAGATACCTGAAGCCAAGTGGAAGAGGTCCCCCTATTTATAGGTGGATGGAGGCCTGATGAAACCTTGTGGGAAACCAAATGTCTTTTACAGAATAGATGTCGCAAGCCCTGCAGGGCAGAAGAAGATGAGAAGAGCCGTCCGGATTTCAGTAATGTTCTTGTGCAAAACCACATATGGAAGAATGACGGGCAAAGAGAGGGAATTGGGTTGTTTCTAAAATGTTGCCATTGATGAAGGAATTTCCCAAGAATGCCTTGAGATTACAAATATTTTATTTCTTGGAGGAGAGCGCTATCAGGGCTACTGGCCATCATGGCTACATTCTCCCACAACTGTTGGCCTCTGAACTCCAGTTCTCAGAATCAGAAGTGAGGGGGTTGCTGTTGCTCCCAAATTTTGTTTCCGTTGGCTTCTGGTTATTCCGGTGAGAACAAGATGCTTGAATCTTGTAGGCCATTGGCCTGATCCAGCAAAGCTCTTCTAATGCCCTTTGCAGAGTTAAAGTTTATACAGATGGTGCATTTTTTAAAAAACAGGTCCTTCACAGCACACTGTTAAAGTATTTACTTTGCTCCTTCAAACATGGTGGCAGCTGCCACCTTAGATGGGTTTGAAAAGGCCTTCCCTGTAGGATACGGGTGGCTGCTGGTCACAACTGTGCCCTAAGTGCCATTTCCAGGAAGAGGCAGGAAGAAGCCATCATGGCAAGTTGCCATTGAAAGGCAGATCAAGTCATGAGTTTGCCCAATCTGCTATTAAAGCCATGCAACTGGCTGGTCATCACTGCCTCTTGTTGAAGTGAGTTCCGTAGTTTAACTATATGCTGAATGAAAAGGTCCTTTCTTTTATCTCTCCTGAATCTCCTGACACTCGGCTCCACCCGATGTCTCCATCAAACTCCTCTATGAATCCACCTTACCTCCCATAATGAAACACCTGTGTCTCTTCCACCTTTCCCCACACTCAGCATGCCCCACTCATTCAGCTGCTCAACAGCCTTGGCATTATGGAGATCAGAGTGTCATTGCCCAAGCAAGCAAAACCAGGGCAAAGGGTGTCTCTGATGTTCCCGTATATATTCATGGAAATAGCATGTCAAAGTGAATTTCATCCAGGGAAATTGCCCTGCCAAAATCTGCAGATCAGGCAAAATTACATACAGACATGTTATCGGGAGAAAACCACACAGAAATGCTGGTGAGTTTTCTTGGGGAGTGTGTTGTTCTTAAAAGCAAACTGAAATGGAAAAACTCAGCTGCAGCTTGGAAAAGGAGACACTATGAGAAACCAAAATTGACCAAATTGGCCAATGCTCTCGTTTTTGCTTTTGTTTTCAGTTTGTTCTGTATTTTAGTGGTTGGATCGATGTTGCTTCTATCCTTTGAGCAAATATTTTGTGGACAGAATAAAGCAGGGCATGAGTTTTATAAATGGGAATGAGCATATTTCCAGAGTTAGGTGTGTGTGGTTCCCAGGTGTTTTGGTTACAAGCATGCTTATTTAGGGGCACTTTTGAGCCTGCTCATTCCAACACCCTAAATTGGTCCCTGTAGTTCAGTGCCAGCCATTGCATTGCTTTCAGGACCGGTGTCACAAATTCTCACTGGCTTGTCCAAGATGTAGTGATGTCCACAAAACTGGAGGATTTTAAGAGAGGATTAGACCAATTCCTGGAGGGAGGGTGAGCACAGCCCAAGGGACTTCCCAGACAGCCTCCACCAGTTTCCACCCAAGAAAACGAAGAAAGGAAATGTCAAGTATGGCAGAAAGTGAGAATGGCTATCTTGAAGACACTGTTGGGATGCGGACCAAAGGGGGAAGACGGAAAGAGGACTGGATATTATCTATGGATTATATGGAAAAATATTAGAACAAGAAAATAATCATAACAGGCTGCAAAAATACTCAGCAGTATATTTTCTTGGGGATGTGAGTGGCATTGTGGTATAAACCACTGAGACTTGGGCTTGCCAATCGGAAGGTCGGTGGTTCGAATCCCCGCGACGGGGTGAGCTCCCATTGCTCGGTCCCTGCTCCTGCCAACCTAGCAGTTCAAAAGCACGTCAATGTGCAAGTAGATAAATAGGTACCACTCCGGCGGGAAGGTAAACGGCGTTTCCGTGTGCTGCTCTGGTTTCGCCAGAAATGGCTTAGTCCTGCTGGCCACATGACCCAGAAAAACTGTCTGCGGACAAACACCGGCTCCCTCGGCCAGTAAAGTGAGATGAGCGCCACAACCCCAGAGTCGTTTGTGATTGCACTTAACTGTCAGAGGTCCTTTACCTTTACTTTTATCTTTTTCTTATGAATTTATGTATGACTGAAACATAGTATGTGTTGACGACGAGATATAACGGGAAAGCCAAAAAACAAAGGTGGTGGACTCTCCTTCAGTGAAGGCTTTTAAGCTGAGATTCAATGTCCACCTGTCAGGGATTCTTAAGTTTGGACTAGATGACTCTCAGGGTTCCTTCCATCTCTACAATTCCAGGATTCTACGATAAATGCCATTTTGCTCCATTTTGACCTGCCATTGCTGTCCCCAACTCTCACCAACCTCCCCCTCCCCACCTCCTTCTGATCTGGGCCAATTCCCAATTCCATTGTGTTTCACGGAAGCAGCTGCCTGTTACTTCACACATCTTTTCAGCCTGTGGACATTCACTGATCATGGAGCAATATTTGTCTGACTTGGAGCCAGACATGGTGAGGAAACAGAACTCAGCGGTGAGACCACAGGCTTCCCACCTTGCCTGCTGCATCTTGCACATCAGTCTCTTGGGAAAGGATGCTGAAGACGTCCCATGTCTGTGTAGGTTGCAAAAGATGAGCAGATGCCCTGGAAGTTTCACAGGACAGGACACAGCACAGAACAACAGCTCACGACCGGCACTAATACTCCTCCCCCAGAATAACATGAGAGTGTGACCCTCACTTTTGAGCCCCCATCTCTCTCCCACGGACACATAAATTCACAACAGTGCACACAATTTCATACCAATGCCTGCCATTGCCAACAATATCAAAACAAAGTGTTGCTTCAGCACCACAAGTAAAATGCAAACAGCACAACACACACATTCAGACCATTCGGAAAAAGAGAGTTAAACCTGCCCTTTCTTTGGAAAAATGGATATGGAGTCTGATCGAGGGCTTGGAAGGGCAATGGAACAGTTAGGGGCTGGAATGATTGGGTGGTTTCCAAGGCTGCTGTCCTGTTCAGGCAAGAGATTTCTGCTTGGTAAAGAACATTTCCTCCTCTCTCCTGAAGACTTCCCCCAGGCACCTCAAAACTTGATCTAAAGATTAGAATGACTCTCCAGATCAGATTCCATGTGGTTCCTGGGTCAGAGATGGTTTCCTCACCACTGTCCAGGGAGAGGAGAGGAATCTGGAGTCAATTTGTGAATTTGGAGACAAGCCATTGAGCTGCAGATGGTGGAGGGAAAGCCCAGGTGGAAATGATGGTATGAGATGTGGATCTGAAGGACTTTGCATGAGAAGATCCCTGAAATGGACCGGCCCAAAGTCCTGTCTAGTCCAGCACCCCTTGGTCTTTCCCACAAGCTCACACTCTCCTTTGTAAACCAATGAGAGGCTGTTTTCACAAACAAGCGGTATAGAAGTGCAAAAACTCCCACCAGCCTCACATGTGTCATGAACACTTCTGCCCAAGGCATAAGAGCTCCAGAGGAGTAGAGAAGCAGCCAACAAAAGAGAGGCTCGCATTCTTCCCAGAGAGCTGTGAAGGGTAGTTTATCATCTCCACCTCACTGTGAGAATGACAGGAATGCAGAGGGTAAAGGCTTACTGGGAAATGATCTATAATGAGATTAAAAAGGTCCTTAAATGGACATTTCAGAAAAAAACCAGAGGCCTTTCTCCTGGGCATGGTGGGCCAATTGGTGCCAAGAAAGGACAGAACATTTTTTATGTATGCTACTACAGCGGCAAGAATTCTTCTGGCAAAGTATTGGAAGATGCAGCAGCTACCCACCCTGGAAGAATGGCAAGCGAAGGTGATCGAGTACATGGGAATGGCAGAGATGACCGGCAGAATCCGTGACCAGGGGAGTGAGACAGTGGAAGAAGATTGGAAGAAATTTAAAAAATATCTTAAAGACTGTTGTAAGATCGATGATTGCTGAGATGTCAGGGTGATAAGAAATAGAGAATTGCAGCTGTAAATCATATTTTTAGAGAATGTATAATGAAAATGAGTGAATAAACTGAATGGAGGGTTGCTGAGAAAGGGGAAATATAAGGATGCAGAAAAAGGGAGGTATGGGGAAGTCCGGGAAATAAGGTGTATGAAAATAAGTTTAAGAAATTATACATGTTTATTTGTTAGTATGTCTTGTTTTGTTTGTTTTAATATTTGTTTTATTATATGTTTGGAAAATTAATAAAAATTATTTAAAAAAAAAAGAGAGAATGACAGGAATGCAGAGAGTGTGCTAGAGAGAATATCAGTGACTTCCCTTCTTCTCTTTCCATGGTTCATTTTGCATAGCATAAAACCCAGTATATTTTATATAAACTAAACCATTCAGTATTTTATTATTACATCCATCAAAACTTATTTACACTGTTGAATTTATCTTAATGCAGCCAACGTTTTCAAGTGCACACAATTTCCTCCCATATAGTCAATAAATATTTTCCAATTTTCTTTAAAACTAATGTTTTCTTGTTCTCTTATTCTGTACGTTAGATCTGCAAGCTGCCACATATTCCACTAGCTTAAGCTGCCATTCTTCTTTGGTTAGGACCTTGCTCATTTTAAAAAAACACGGGCCGTCGTATATAGGTTATACAGAGGTTATACAGGTATAACCTCTCTCTTTTTTAACACCTTCAGGTGTCAAAGAAGAAGATATGTCTCTTCTCCCCTCCCCCCACTATTTGTACTCCAAATATGGAAAAGAAAAGGAATGACCTCAAAAGGATGCTAAAAAATCACACTTTCGTTCTTCAATGGATTGCTTGCCAGTGGGGTC